CATGTTTACAAACAGGAATACATACATATGTGCATACATGCAAAACATATGTTTGTACAAAAAAATATATTTATGTACGTACGGACGATATGTGTGTGTATTTTTTCCAACGTGTTGGCATAACAAACTACGTAAAGTGCAACTTTTGCCATTTTTGGATTTGGATTCCTTTGCATCAACTCAAGCCGGAAAACACTTGTCAAAAGTCGACAAAAGTCAACGATGGTTCATGAAAAAAAATAAAAATACTACAGCAACAAAAACAATTACTAAAGAGTACAAATTGTACACTTACTTGCTTTTACAGTGGATGTACAGTGTGTTGGAAAAGATAGATATTTTAATTCTCAACACGGTCTCCGTTTAGCTCGACACATTTAGTTCAGCGCTTTTCCAACTTCAAAATAATAGGGTTTTCAAAATAAACGCTTGTTTCAGTGATGCCCGCTTCTTTCGACCCAAATCTCTTACCGCACAGCCGCTGCTTTGTTTGGGTTAGGAAACAGGAAATGGTCGCTAGGGTCTAAATCTGGTGAAAATTGTGTATGGGTTAGAGGAGGTCGCCCAATTGATGGATTTCGCGTATGCATCCGTGCATTGTGTTCAACAGCATTTTTTCTTTCCCAGTCTGTCCAAAATCTCTGAATAATATTCGCCAGTGATAGTTTTGCTTTCTCAATGAAATGGATGTGATTGACACCGCGTGCATCCCAAAAAACTGTGGCCAAGACTTTATTGGCCAACAGACCCACTTTGGCCTTCTTTGGTGCACTTCCTGATCGTTACTTGGTTTCGTCAACGGTTACGAAATTCAGCAAAAACTCGTTCCGATTGCAGCTGAACGTGGCCAAATAACCCCTTTGAAGTGGCCACACCGTTTCGTTTATGGACGAGCAAGTGCGGCAGCCATACCGCGGATAGCTTTTTCATATCCATTCATATCATTTTCATATCATTCGTGTGAAATGTGAGGTACCTCCTCAGATGAGATGTCTACAGCCTCAGCCACCTCACATGCCTTCATCCGCGATCCTCTGAGGCTCTGAGATAAGGGCAGATGCCTTCAACAATTCTGTACAATTTTGTTGCTCACTGTATGTGAATTTAGATTAAAGTGTTGTATTCAAAACTAAGCGCCCCTTTATATGCCACTAAACTTTGAACGCATGGCATGCAGCACGCCTTAGCTTAGTGTTTGCATGCCTGTGCAATAACTTGCATCTATACAAATGTGTGTATGTATGTACATATTTTGGAGCTGTTCAACATTTCTTTGGTTGCTTTCTTGTCCTCTATCGTTTTGTGCGAAATTCTGAACTATTTTTATGTGCTCTTTAGTGAATTTAGAAAGTTTGGCAGCCACTACAAAGTGGTCATTGTAAGTGGAATAGTACATACATACATATGTACATACAGGGAAAAACATACATACAATGCACATTCTTAGTCATGAATAAGTATATTTATGCAGATTTGCATTGCAGCCTGACCTGGCGACTTGTCGACTTTGCTCTTTGATAGCCAGATAACACAGCCATTTACATAAGTATTCGTACGTATGCACTTGCACCCACACCCACACCCACCTCTCAATTGAAATTTGTGCTCGGTTTTTGTGCAGGACTTTTCGTCTTTTTTCCAATATTCTTCCTTTTTAATTTTTTAGTGGTTGTGTGATGAGAAAAGTTGTATTCGAAATGCGAAAACTTGCAAAAACCTTTCTTCCTTCTCAAATTTTCGCAAGAAAGTAATCTTCAACGGCCACTAAATGGCTGTCTTTGAATAATTTTGTGGTGACCAAAGCTGCTGATTTGCATATGATATACTTAAATCATCGGTTGAAGTAGCTCTTAAACTAAAAAAGCGAATGCTACTTAGTTTGGGTGGAGCTTTGACAAGCAATACATACGTAGTAGAGTAGTTTTACGTAGCAAATTAATATCAGCTCAACTTTTTGTAAGTGAGCGGGTGGTTACAAGTGGATCTCTGTAAGTGCCCAAAGAAGGGAAGATAGACTTATAGAAAGGTTGTATCAAAATAATACGGAGAACAAGCTTAGTCGATTAAGCCTTGTAATGTGGTAAATAGAATTGTAGCGGATAGTGGGTAACGGGCTGACGGGCTGACGGTTGGCGAACAGCTGATCCATTCCAGTCGGAAAATTCGGTCCGCTAAACACAATTAGAAATTAATGTCAACATTTTTCCACCGTACAAAATAACCTACGATAAGAAATCAGTCGCCGCCGCAAATATGTGCCATTTCATGCCATTCAATGTGTTCTTATTTTGACAGCAGGTACCCCTCAGCCCGTTACCCGCTATCCACAGCAATTCTGTTTACCACATAAGTCTGTCTTTCTTACCACATATGTATGTCTGTATATCTCCTGCAGCACTGATTGTTCAGATATGAGAAATGATTTTTTTTTTCATTTACATATTTTATTTCAATCGTTAGACTGAATAATTTTTCATCATTTCAAAGTGATTGCAAAAGCATCAGTGATGGTGTCTCGAATTAAGAAGCATTCCAGTTCACGCCGCCGAATATATCTAATTGTCGATGTTTATGTTTGCAAATGCGATTTTTCGCCTCTTTATACATAAATACTTTGCAAGTTTATCTGCTTGCGGCCAAATCACATTAATCCAAACAAACGCAACAAATATTTCACCAACACGCCGCAAATTAACTCGTTGCAATAGCAGCAGCAACAGCTACGACCGCCAAGATTAATAAATAAACGCCTTGGCTTACAATAGCAAACAAACAAACAAATAAATATTGAATGCCGAAAATGTATTTCCTTCAACAAATTAGAAGAAATACGTCTGTCCCTGCAGGGAAACCGCGAACTAGTGAATCAAATTTCTAGCTAGGTACTAGATCATTATCGCCAAAAATGAACCAGTCCGATAGGAACTAGAATGCCACCAATTCATAATCTGCAAAATTTCGTACTTTTAAAGATTATTTTATTTCACTGTTTTCATTAGAATATATCTAAGGTGACGAATTTAGAACTGATTTAGAATTTTAGAAAAAGGGATGCAGAACGAACTAGATCTTATCTGTCGAATTGAGAACTAGTTAGGAACTATCAAAAACGAGACGCAGCGGAGAGTTTGTTTACTTTACATAGATATGTGTTTGGCGGCTATTTCGTTCAAATGCGCTTTCATTCTGGACTTCGCAGATGCTTTTTCATAGTTGGGTAATATAATACAAAAATTTGTGTTACTATCTTTACATCTTGGGACGGTCTGGAATCTAACCAATAACAGCGAGCGCCTCTGCAAATTCAGCTACAGCCAAAGGTATGTAAACATATTTTCAAATACCCAATTTGATTTACAATCATTCAAATAAATTTGATTTCGAATTGAAAACAGGTTTCTTTTTTTAAAGAACAAAGTATTGCCTTGTTGTTATTTAAGCAAAATCGGCTAACGGGTCGCTCGGCTACACGAATCGTCAACGAGCGAGTTTTCTCGTTGGTGTATCTCTGAACTATCTGCATTGCAATGCAGATGGGGCAACTGTCCACCGCCAAAGACACCTCCATTATAAAGTAGACAGTTGAAGTCATTGTTCGGAGATTGAGCGAAAACTAGTGTTGTGGAAAAAAGGAACCCATCTTGAACTATTTTTGGACTGGAGAAATTTCCTGCAGGGATTGGGGAATTTCACCTAGGCTCTACGTCAACATAGCAGACCTGCAGCCGCCAGAGGGCTAAAGGCAGCGCATCCAACAAATACACATTGCACCAACAAATAGTTATAAGTAGAAGCCCCGCAAATATTTACATACATTTGTGGTCAGCTGATTAAGTCAAATGACATTTTGACTTGGTGTGGCTCTTTTTTTCTTTTGTTTATTTAATGTTTATATTTTTTATAAAGGTAACCTAACCAGCGCCACATAAATACATATTTAAAACTTCGTAAAAAAATCAAAAATTACTAAAAATCAACGCAATTTTCTAGCGACTTGAAGTTTGCACTTTAACCTACTAGATTTTAATTAGCTACCAAACCGCATACCCAAAATTTTTTGAAATTCTAACTAAAAAGTTAAAAATTTTTGGGTGGAAATTTTAAAGTTTGTTGAATTTTCATAATTTTTGTACGAAGTTTGAAATCTGGATTTATGCGTCGCTGGTTCGGTAGAGTGCTTAACTTTTATAAAAAAATATAAACATTAAATAAACAAAACAAAAATAGCCAAAACTAATCAAAATGTCACTTGACTTAATCAGCTGATCACAAGTGTACATACACATATGTATGTATGTATGCATGTCTGTCTGTATAATAAATTCGTATTTGTGGAGGCGCAGATGTTGGTATTATTGATTCTCGCATTCGAACACAGCATCGATCTGTAAAAATAAATACGCATTCCGAGCCAATGCATCGTCGCGCCTCGCAAACGCTTTGGCTTTGCTCGTAAATGAATGGCCTTCAGGCTGGTTGGTATTGCTGTGCTGTTGCTGTGAATGTCGCAAATTAAAGCGCTCTAATGTAAACACAAATTTTTTGTTGTTTCGAAATTTTTTCACCCCAATAATTGATCCATTGTTCTACAGGTTGATGACGTCACCTGAACTTAGTCAATACATCCAAATGTATGTGTGTATGTCTGTAAATAATGTTCGCCAATAAAAGACGCTTTTATCTTTTTTTTTTAAACATTTTTGGGAAAGTTTAAAGGCAAACGCTTTTGGTATTTGTTTCTTTTGTTTTGAACATAAAATGCGTCAACGGTGTTTGTTTATTTTAAAATTACTTTATGTCTTCCTCTAATTAAGTTTTTTTCCATTTCCTATTTCGCCAGCATCAAGAATTGTTTCTTGGATATTAAATTTTTTTTTATATTCGCTAATAGCCAACAAATATCTACTTCTAATTATTTTTTTTTATTTTTAAACACTTAAGACTATTTATTTTAAATGCTTTGGAATAGATTACAAGTTTTTTTTTATAAATTTTCTCACCTTGTCGTTTTCAGCTCCATACAACTCGCAGTCGCTGCTCGAAACCAATTAGAATTTATCTGCACGCCAAGCGACTGAAAATAAAAGAAAAACCATTAAGCAACAAATTTCGCTCTGGTATCTGGTATGACATCGCAAAAATAAGCAGGGAGAAATTCTATGAAACACCCTGTGTGATAGAATTTATTTAATAGGAGCAACATTTCTTCAACACTTTACTTGATTGTCGAAAATAACTTAGCGGAAATTATCAGCCAGTGATTCAACAAATTTAAGAAAGAGCAGAACTAATTTATAAACTATAAAGCAATTCAACAAGTAACTGTTTCTCATTCAAAACTGCGCTTCCCCTTTATCTCGGGTGGCGCACACAAACTTTTCATCCATTTAGTAAATTAGTGCGCAGTTTCGTGAATTGTTGCACGGCAATTTTTCTATACGAAATATTAGCAAATTCTAGTTGCTTGACATGTCTGATGACACACTGAAGGTCGAAAACTTTCAACCCAGAAGCACTCAGGAACTTGTACAAGTAAAATACATACACATACACACTAGTCTCTGCTGGATATAAGCCAGTACGAGTGCATGCGAATCCATTCAAGTTGAGACTTAATGCTAGTTGATTTTGTTTCTAAAATTGATGAGCCGTTGATGAATTGCAGTCACACACGCAACGACGAGCTACTATTTACGATTATTTATGTTTTAATGTAATGCATATATGTACTCTATGTATGAATGTATGTGGGTGATGGTGAGGGCACAAACATTTCAATTCAAATGGCCACTACTGAGCTCAGCATGTCGAAAAGCAAGCAAGCATATACATAAATATAAAATTAATGATAATGGCAAGTGAATGGCAAATGGCAAATCCTGACGCCAGGACAATTTACTTAGCAGTCCAGCCATAAATGGGAGCGCAAAACGTAGAAGGTGGCAGGGATGTTTATGTGTGTAGTCTCTTCATTCAATGTCCTGGAAAAATACTATAAAAATATGTGTATGTATATCAGCGGATACTAAAATGTTTACGATTTTATAAAGCAAAAGTGTGAAATTCAATAAGAGCTGGAGGAGAACAGTAAAAATAGGAGAGAGACATAAATATGTCGAAGTGAAAAATGAATCAGTAAGTTTTATGTCATATTTTTTACTTCGAAAGTTTCGCGAAAGTTGAATTTCAAAATGGACGGAAGTAAGAAAGACGATGAATTTTAAAAACCTCATTTAATAGAAAAAAACGCCTATATTCATATTTATGTATTTTTGAAATTTTGGGTTATTTACTATAAAGTAATTTACGCTTTTGAGAAGCGAAAGCCTTAAAATCTTATCAAAAATATGATAAATACATTCAGTAAGTTGGGCGTAGGTAGCGTAAAGAAGCTCTGCACACAACCTTAGTAATTCTATGCTCCTATGCAATAACAAATTTTACAGTAATCGCTAAATACTTTTGAAACTAAGCCACCCAAAACAATCCATTTCAAGCGCTTTGTAAAAAATAAAAGAATTTCTTTTATTTTTAGACTGTGGATGTTTATGCAGAAAACGAATCCTAAAAATATGCCTCTGTTAGCCTCCAATAACCAAGTATATGCAGGATCTTTTGGCAAGAAAAATCATCGAGATGGAAGAGATATACTTTTGCGGAAGCAGGCACTTTTAGAGGTCAGAACCTAAACTATCAACTACTTTTGTCTCATCATAGCAAAACAGGTAAATTTTTTTCTCTGAGTTATGATACTCATTCGTAAGCTCATTCCAAGTTTCTGCCGTGCGATTTTCTCATCGTCTACTCTCTATTTATATTTAAGTTCGTCTGCTTTTTCGCTTCTTCGTATTGTACCGATACCAGTTGCCTAATCGAACTGTTCTTTCATCAGATTGAGAGATCTGAATTGATCTTAACAGAGGGAAATGCATTTAGGGCAGTTTGGATAACGGAGCAGATTTGTATAATTGCTTTGAGGACTTTCCCAACTTTTGGCAAATGTATTTACTGGGCTTGGAGTTATTATTTAGTGCAAGGGCTCACTGATAATTAGAAAAAAAACAAGTTTAGACTGCACACAAAATCGTATTGATTAGTGTATTTGCATCGGTGCGAAAGCGTCGGGACCTGGAGAGTGTGCGCTTAGCAAAAAACTCCAGTGTCTTTAAGAGAATTAAACTGAGGTATGGTATGAGGATACTCTTTCCAACGCAGAGGATGACTTCTTCTTCCTCAGTTACCAGCACCGCGACCTGCGTTGAATACTTTCAAAGCTGAAGCGTTTCTGTCCATTCTTAAGGTCTGATTATGCATACTTCGCATAACTTCGCACAACCATTTGTACCAGTGCAATAAAAATGTAACTTAAGAAAATTTGTAGCAAGATCTAAACTCAACAGATCGCTAAGTTTTTGAAAGTTCTGCTAATTTCTGGAAAAGTGAATACATACAAAATACATACGAAACTACAGTTTGAAGTTTATGCGAAGTTGTACGAAGTATGCATAATCAGTCTGACTGTCTGTCCTATGTCCTATTAGTATTGCGGGAATACCAAGTTCAAACATTGCGGCATAAAGACAATATATTTTCGTGTTGTCAAAAGCAGCTTTGAAATCGACAATTAGATGGTGCGTGCCGATCCTATTTTCGCAAGTCCTTTCCAATATTTGGCTTATTTTTAGCAATCAAAATGTTCGCGAACCGACAACCCACTGAAGCTCTATATAAACGGCCAGTTTTTTGAAACCATAACAAAAAATATGAAATAAAAAGTAAATATAAAAATTTACTCCGAATTTTGTGTAAAAGCCTGCTGTATTACGGACATCCTTTACGAAGTTGTAAATCACTTTTTTTTTGTTATTTACAAAAATTAATAAAACACTCGCATTAACATGTTTATTAGGTCGTATTTGTTTCGCTTATCTTACAACTTTCTTGTAACAGGAAATATGTAAATCCAAATGGGCAATGAATTTTTCCTACAATCAAATCTATGTCAATTTACAAGCCATCAACAAACAATCCGTAAATTTTCCAAAAGTCGTCAACTAGAAAGTATTTGCCATTTTTCTTTTACCAAAAGGCCAACATTTAATGAGCCAAAAATAACAAGAATTCAAATAAGTAGTTGTTTTACAAGTCAAAGAGCTGTCGTAGAAAAGAGTATGAAAAGAAATAGCAAACGAAAACAACTTTTTTATTACTTTTGTTATTACACAAACTATAAAACCGCTCGTTTCCACTTCCACAGCAGCAGCAATAAATTGGCTTGACAAAAGGCTGAAAAGGATGCCAACGCAACGCAACGGCAGATTGCTATCTATGCAAATAATAATATGCGCGCTATATTTCCAATCAAAGCCACAACACACACACACACACACACGCACTCGCACATCCACTCCAACGATAAAAAAAAAAGAAGAAAGAAGGAGACACTCCGCCGATTCGATTATATTGAAAGCTTAAGCGGCCTGTTAGCTATGTTGTATAAGCAACCAATAACCAGATAAGATAAATGTATGCTTATATATATTTGTTTGTAAGTATGTATGCATGTGTGGAGCAGTAACCGAAGGCATATGCATGAATATGTGTCATCGGCATGCTAATAAGTAGGTATTATTAAGTTTGTAAGCCAGTGTGACAGGCAGACAAGAAAATGCACGTTCGTACACATGAGGCAAAAACAATTTCAACGAGCCTAATAATAAAGCTCTGCTACCAAGGACTAAAAATAAAATGCGCAGCTGAGGCTCAGCCAACGCAATGTGATACAGAAAAGGACGAGATGAGGCAGTAGCCGATTACCAAGACACACAACAAATTGAATTATAGGGCACGCTTACACACGCGCACACACATTTTTTCATGCCTAGATAATACGACAGAAATATTTACATATTTAATCGTATCGGATGATGGCATTTTATACGATTTTTTCCTTTCTCGTTAGTTTTTATTTAATGCCAATCTGTTTGCAAGAAACAGCTAATACTCCTATAAACAACGTGCATATGTAAATAAAGTAATTTTTTTACCTCGCTTCCTCGAGATGGTGGAAATTCTTTATCTAAGCCGATTTATCTATCGCATGCCCAGTGATGAATATTTTTTGGTCAAGTTGGGCATCGCCTCGTGGTCACTCCTCTGGGAAATTACTTACAACCCCATCTACTTAGTCTTAGCAAGATTAATCCTATACATAGAGCAAAAGCCCAGTTAATCTAATTAGATGACCAAAAGTTAGAAAAAAGGTTGGTCGAAGCGTTTTATGGAAGGTACTTCTTTCATCTGGCAATGGGATGGTCATACTCATTCGAAGAAGCTTGCAACTCTCGATATTATTGGAGGGCTCAAGCCAGGAACGGCAGATAAAACCGGAGAAGGAGATAAGTTTTGTTATTGAATGTTATGTCATGGTATGTTATCTTGTGTTATGCTATGTTATGTAATCTTATCTTATGGTATGTTATGTTATGTCAAGCTAAGTCCTAAGTTCATTTCTTCTCCATTTAACTTACCCCAACTAATGTTATTTCACCTCACCTCAACTCAACTCAACTCAACTCAACTCAACTCAACTCAACTCACCTCAACTCCTATTAATTTTAGTGGTTGAACTTCAACTGCTGGGCGAAAATTAGTTTTTGTTAAAGAAGATCCCAACATTTTGTGATCAAAAAGCTGTTATAAAAATTTCAACGGAGAATCAAACGAATATTAATAAAAATTCAAAAAAAAAAAAACTACAAATTTAATGAAATATTTATGCAAGATCAAAAAATGTGTACATATGTATCTAGGTGTGTGCAGTCATTTAATTAGTTCACTACATTTATTATTTCTTGTTCACTTTCAACTATTTATTACTATTTCGGTACGCAATTTTTTCACACCGTATTATTTTACTTCTATTTATTTACTTTTCGCTGCGAGTAGCGAATGCGGTCGCGTAACAGTTCTTGTGGTAGTGGGATACAACAACCAATCGACTAAATTGTAACTAAATAAACTCGAAAAATCAACAGATGTTTTTCGATTTAGTTCATTGATATTTGGCTTTGA